ATAGATGTCATACTGAGAGAAAGAAGAGTGAAATCTACTTCCCCCTTCAAAATTATCTCTATTTTAGTAATAAACCAAGCATGGGATACTATGTCTCAAGTACTTTTGCAAGAGCATTAATTAAGAAGGGGAGTGTTTTGTTTTGTTTTGTTTTTTGTAATGACCCCTATAGTGTAGATGGGTCTCTGTCATCTTCTTTCAAAATGTCAGCCATGATCTCCAATTTATTATTGCTATGATATGGCCAAATTTTGTTTTTTTAGATGACAAAGTATATACCCTCAGATACTTTAAAACTCATATTTGTTATTCGTTTTATGACATTGCAGAAACAACTTCACAGAAGACTTGAATATGGACTCTAAGATTTGTTCACATTATTAGTTTTAATGAGTAATCTAAGGTAGGTTTAGACTCTTCTAACTTATGTTGAATAAAATGCACATCCTCTCTCATCTTCAGTGAACATGGCTCACTCCAGATCTGAGCTCTTGCTCTCATGTGACTTCAACCCATAACCTATTTCCCTGAATGAGGCGAATACTTAAAGTCCCATGGACAAAAATTCTCTGGCAAATTAGCCTAGTTTTCCTCTTGAATGGCCATAATCTAATTCTGCATGTGGAAATATTTCTTAAAAATGTGTGCTGCTGTTTCCCTCTATGTGCTCTGTGAAATGTGGAAGCATCTTGCAACAGTGATGTGTAATATATGTGTGCAATCCAATTTGATTTTTTGAAATGAAGCACAAATTCTCTCTGGAATAATTTCTTTTACTGGTTCATTGTCGAAAAGAAACTTGTCACCAAGCCAAAGATAAAACTGCTGCTGGGTTTAGTTTCGAATTTTATAAAGTGAATAAGTGAAAAATATATATACATGCATTTCAGACTCAAGTTATGAATAATTAAATGAATATATAATTGTATCCAGTTTTACCCTCAAGCTCAACCAGCAAAGACATCTTCAGTCCATGTAAAAAGGATACTTCACATTTTTTTCAAAAATTATGAGCGAGCTGCCAAACAACACTGAATTTTTATGCTCATAAGCAAGAATAACAATCTGTCTATAAAATTATACAGTGGGGAGTGCAGCATTATTCAAGAGTTTTGTTTAATGTACATTCTGCCTTCTAAAATTTGAATTTACACAAGCATTTTCCTAGTGTTGTCTGAAATGTCTTCTTCATCATCTCTCACCCTACCTCTCTGATCCAACGTTGTAGTGGGGGTGAGAAGCAGGTAGACTCAGCACTCTCTAAGTCTGTTTTGGCTGAGCGCTTTTGTTTTGATGTATGAAGTATGGCAAAGTAACGTGCGTGATTTTAACACACATACCAAAGTATGTATTCAAATGCCTCCTTCTAAGTGGTTCTCTCAGAACTTGTCCTAATAATGCCATTATTGTGAGGGACATCTTTCAATCTCTTCTTTTGAAGCAGTTATAAACAAATAATTGATTGCGTTTCCATGTTGTTCATTATATTGGCTCTGAATAAATTCTTAGCGTTAAAAAAATACCTCCCCCTTTCGTGTGGTCAGCTTATTTTTGATACTGGCCATTCACACCCATTTATCCTCCCACTGCTGGGGCTCCAGTCATTGGGGAAGAAGGGGCAGTTCCTAGAAGCCTCTGTGCATTTGCATATGCCATTCCCTCTGGCTGGAAGATCTTTGTTGTATTACTAAGCCAGAGATAACCTCCTTCAGAAAGTCTTCCTTGACAGGGCCCACTTCCCCCTGCTCCCCTGCCAGCTGTTTAGCTCCCTTCTATTTAGCTGCACTTGGGAAATTCAAATGTCGCCTCAGTCCACCAAAGGGTTTTACCATGTTCCTTTGCCCTTCTCCTGACCTAGTCCGAGAGTCCCTTGCAAACAAACACTCTGTCTTTATTATCCGTACCCTTGGGGCCCAATAGCATTGACTCATAATATGTTCATGGCAAATTTGATCACTGATGGTTTGTGAAGGAATACAAACTTTTGTCAGAATGTTTGTGAATGGATACTTGAATAACATCGGCCACCTGAGATGACCTCTTTGAAAGTAAACTTTCATTTGATTGAGTCCTCGTCAAGTTTGGGAATTACTGGATTATTCCGTGAATGATGTTAGGCAAACTAGTTTGTCAGTTTGGCAAAATCAGATTCGCTGCCTCATATCATAAGCGGACAGACAAAATTCCAATTGAATTTAATGTTACTGGTTTTTGAAAAAATGAAACAATAGGGGCGCCTGGGTGGCTCAGTCTTTAAGCATCTGCCTTTGGCTCAAGTCATGATCCCGGGGTCCTGGGCTTCCTCTTCAGCGGGAGGCCTGCTTCTGCCTCTCCCTCCCTCTCCTGCTTGTGTTCCCTCTCTCACAATGTCTCTCTCTACCAAATAAATAAATAAAATCTTAAATTAAAAAAATCTTTAAAAAAATCTTAAATAAAATCTAAGCAACTATAACTACTTGTCTAATTTTGGGATGAGGAGGGACTATTTAAATATCATGCTAAAGCCCAAAACCACAAAGAAGAGGTTGATGGTGGTTCTGAGCAAATGTATCACTTTATAGATCGTATGTTCTAAAGGCACATTTTTTCTTCTGAATTATTTTCCAACTTTTAAGATTCTGAATGTATGCCTATTCAAGGAGTCACACAGAAGAAAACAAGTGATTGTAAAAATATACTGAAGATTGTCCAAAAAATCTGTAAACACAGGGAAAACTTTTTTTATTATCCTTTAAAAAAATTTTTTTTAAAGATTTTATTAATTTATTAATTTATTTGAGAGAGACCATGAAAGGGGAGAGGTCAGAGGGAGGAGGTCAGAAGGCTCCGAGCAGGGAGCCTGATGTGGGACTTGATCCTGGGACTCCAGGATCATGACCTGAGCCGAAGGCAGTTGCTTAACCAACTGAGCCACCCAGGTGCCCCTTAAAAAATTTTTTTTAAAGATTTTATTTATTTATATGAGAGCAAGACAGTGAAAGAGAGCATGAGAGGGGAGAAGGTCAGAGGGAGAAGCAGACTCCCTGTGGAGCTGGGAGTCCGAAGTGGGACTCGATCCCAAAACTCTGAAATCATGACCGGAGCCAAAGGCAGTTGCCTAAGCAACTGAGTCACCCAAGCACCCTAATTTTTTTTATTATACTTTTTTCAGGCTAACAAATGCATCCATTGCTTACAGGTATTTCACCTATAAGCTGAAAGAAAATATATGGAGCATATTATTTGAAAATATAACTAGTGTGTTGTTTGAAAAATCAGTCTTAGGTTTCTGACTTTTTGGTTTGTAAGTATGGTTTTTAACTATTAAAAAATGGAGCAACCTAAATGTTCAATAAGGAATTGTTAATACATAAATTATCCATAATAAAAATGATGGTGTTGAGGAGTTCAAGATATATTTTTACTGACCTGAAAAGGAGTTCAGGATATATTTTTATTTATTTTTATTTTTTATTTTATTATATTTTAAGTAGGCTCCACACACAGCATGGAGCCCAAGGCAGTACTTGAATTCATGACCCTGAGATTAGACCCGAGTTGAGATCAAGAGTGGTAGGTTTAACTGAGCCACCCAGGCACCCCCACAATATATTTTTAAATGAAAAAAAAAAAAAAAGATTATAAACTTTTAGGTACATTATGTCATTTTTATAAAAACATATGCGTTATTTATATGGTTACATGTATACAAAAATCTGAAAGGATATACATAAACGTATTAGTAGTTACTATCTTTTTTGCCTCATCTATAGTTTCAAATGTTTCAACAATAAATATGGGTAATTAATGAGATGGGGATAAAAAGACAAATCTAGAATGGATTATTCATAACCAAAGCAAACACTGACCAAACTTACTAAACAATAAAATTTCTGAGATAAAAAAAAACAAAGATCGCAAGAAAAGAAAAAAAAAAAAAAAAAAGACAACTATATATGATTTCAAGTGATTTGCTGCCACCTTGTGAGGAATGCTCCTCATTGCAGGACAGAAACAAGCAAAATCTGGAACTATGAAAATTCTGTAAGTGAAGATGAAATCGCTTACATATGCATGATCCAAGAAGTTGCTTAGCTAAAGCTCTGTTTATCAGTCGATCCGTTTTGTTTTCTCTGCCAGCTATTTAACAAAACTGCTAGAACAGGTGGAAAATAATATCAAACATACATGATTACAATGTGTCAAGCACAGTTCTAGTAGATAGCGCTTTATCTAACAAAAATCCTAGGAAATAGAGATCATCTTTACCTGTTTTTATAGAGGAAACAGAGAGTTTAGCCCCCTGCCAACATTAGACAATGTTGCCAAAACGGTGTAAACCCAGGAGCTGCATTTACGGTCAATGATTTAAATTTTTGAGTTTTCAGTTCCCCCTCAAGCACCCTCCCCCCCATTCTCAAATGCATTGCGCAGAGTTGACTGCTGCCTTTGTTGGGATTAGTGGATAAGAATTCCTAAGAATTCCGAGAGGGATTATTATGTTCTCCAAATTAATCTTAGTTCCTTAAAGCTGGGGAGCAGCATTGTTACTCCAAGTACGATCCACAGAGCTGGGTCCTTCTGTTACCAGTCCACGGCCAGGCAGGAACAGAAGTTGAGAGTAAGCATTTGGAAAACTTTTTGGTAACTTTACAGGTGATATATAGCTGTTGACTCTAATGATAAAATGTTTCTAACATTTGTATCTTATCTTACCAGAGCATGGACCACAACTAACTGGTAATTCAAAAAATTAATCTGATCGCTCCCTACATATAATCTGGGCAGCACTGTTGTATTCACCCTCGAGAATTTTACAAAATTCTAAGGATTCTTCTGAGGTTTAGTTTCCCAAAATGAGGCTTCGGATATTTTCCCCTCCCATATCTTCACCCATTTTATCCTATAAAATTGTTTTAATGATCACTAAAGCCAACATTAATAATGTAAAAATATATCTGAGTCTCAAAGGCCGAGTACCAAGGTAGAGAGGTACCCAGGTACCAAGGTACCCAGGTGGGATGCGGGGTTGCCCCCAGGCGCGTGCGCGGACGCGAGTCCGGGACGGTCAAGGGGGCGGGGCAGAGGCTAGGCGGCTCGGAGAAGCCACGCCTCCATCTCCGCCGGCCGCCACGCCTCCATCTCCGCCGGCCGCCGCGCCTGAAGAAGGCCGGGATACTGTCACTTCCGTCGGAGCCGCACTCTGTATCCGGGTCAGCTGCTGCCGCAGCCGCTGTAGACTGGGGACTGGGCCCGGGTCTCCGCTACTGTCCGAGGGGAGCGGGCTCCTCTCGGCGCTATCTCCTGCGCCCTGGCCGTCAGTCCCACGTCGCCGGCCTGGAGGGGCGAAGAAGACGAGGGAGCCAAGGCTTCCTGCGGGGTGAGTGCGGCCGGGGAAGGCTGGGCACGGCGGGTCTGGGCTGAGAGCGGGCCTGCGGTGGACGTCGGAGGGCTGAGTGCCCCCCGGACAGCCTGAGAGAGGAAGCTCAGAGGGTTATCCGACGTAGGTGGCGCCCGGGAACCTGCTCGCGAGGCCCTTCCCGGATCCCCGCCCAGTTTAGGCCCCCGCCCTTGGCTCGGCTCCTGTTTGCCTTTGCTATCCGCCCCCCGGCCATCCCTTTTCCGTTTGTGCTGTTGTGCTCGGGATGGATCTTACCCCCCTCTTGGCCCCGCTGCGCACACCCTGGTCTGGGTGCGGTGACCGGCCACTTTGGTCGCGAATGTAAAACCTGTGTCAGTTCTGGTACAGAACAAAGAAACTCGGACGTTTGATGTACCCTGTACCCTCGGGGAATAGACACGGAAGCGACATTTGTAATGAAGGCTTTAGTAGACTTTTCCTACGTATAAAAGCCGAGTTCCCGCGTGGATTCAGACATAACTTTTTGCTTAATGGTTTGGGTTTTTTGGGTGTATCTGATGCAGATGGAGGTGTACTAGATCAGCTCCTGTTAACTTTATTCGCGTCTACAACGTTGCTTTGAAACTTCCCTTGTCTGCCTGTTGCGGGAGCCCTTTGAGAGCACGGCTTTTGCCGTGTTCATCCTGGTAGTCATAGTGCCTTCCTTACAGTTAATTGAATGAAGTGTGTGATTGCATTTTAGAGTTGCTTTTTTTCCAACCTCTCCTTTTTGATTAGGATCTCTATTTCTCTTAGTGCCTAGTTTCTTAACTTTTTCAATGAAACATACTCTTTTTCTAAAATTTTTTTAGATTTATTTATTTATTTATTTATTTGAGAGAGAGACAGTGAGAGAGAGCATGAGTGAGAAGGTCAGAGGGAGAAGCAGACTCCCCATGGAGCTGGGAGCCCGATGCGGGACTCGATCCCGGAACTCCGGGATCATGACCTGAGCTGAAGGCAGCCGTCCAACCAACTGAGCCACCCAGGCGTCCCACTTTTTCTAAAATTTTATAACAATTTCTCAACTTGTAAATAAGATAACGTTGATAACTAAAATTACCCAATTTAGTTACCTCCTATACTATCTTCTTGATGAACTCTCACATCTTTTGCTTAGTTCTTGTCATTTTACATTTCTTCTAAACTATTCTCGTTCTTCATAATCTCTTTCTATGGCAGCCTAACATTGTTGGGCTTATACAGGAAGTATGACCGGTCCACTTCTGCAAACACGAATCATGAACTAGATCATAAGTCAGTGCCTTTGTGGTCTTTAAGTGTTAGAGGACCTTTGAAGTTAAATGTAACCAAATCTGGCATTACAGGCTTACTCTGTATTAAGTTCCCAGTGAACTGGAAACAGTGCGCTGTATTAGAAACAGTCTACATTTAATCTGGGAACCAAGAAGTAATGTCATTTGCCTCAATGTAAAACCGGGATAATAACACCAGTGTTTTTGTTGGAAAAACATTGTTTTTGATGTTTTGTTGATTAGAACATATAGGGATGATAAATGTGCAAGTGGTTAGTAAATGTGAAAAGGAAAGTGGTTCCCTTCATAGCCTCTGCAGCAAAGCCTGTAGGAGCAGCAATGGAGGAGGGTATCTAAAAAAGGAAGTATATATAGCCAGTTCTGAAATATTAACCGTGGCTGAAAATTATCTTAAGCTTACATTGTATAAAGCAGAATACTAGTACAATATGATGATAGTAGTATTCTACAATTACAATTTTATACTACAACAAATATGTATAACTACAATAAAGTGTCAGAGATCAATATTAGACTTTAATCTTCTTAAAGGTCTTAGAACTTCTCCAGTATGTTCTGCATACTGATCATAAAAGTACTGTTTGTAGGTGGCATAATTATCCTTTGCTTTATTTTCACAATTTTGAGAAAAGTCAGCAGCATTGTAATTTTTCTCGAATTTTTAGTGTTAACGTTTCAGGTAGAGTATCTCATTTTGTTCTTTTTTTAAATTGAGGTACAGCTGGCATATAACATTATATTAGTTTCAGGTGTACATAAAACAGTGATTCGATACTTTTATATATTGGGAAATGATCACCACAATGAATGTATTTAACATTCATTGGCGCACATTAAAATTTTTTTGTGATGAAAACTTTTAAGAATTATTTTCTTAGCACCTTTCAGATATGTAACACAGTATTAGCTATAATCACCGTGCTGTACATTACATCCTTAGAATTTATTTTATAACTGGTAGTTTGTCCCTTTTGACCCCCTTCACCCATTCGTCCAACCCCATCCCCTCTGGCAACCACCAGTCTGTTTTCTGCATCTTTGAACTTGGTGTGTGCGTGTGTGTGTGTTTTAAGATTCCACATATAAGTGAGACCATATAATATTTGTCTTTCTCTGTCTGACTTAAGATCTGTCTGTATGCCCTCAAGATCTATATCCATGTTGTCCCAACTGGCAAGATTTCATTCTTTTTATGGCTGAACAATATTCCATTGTGTGTATATACCACGATTTCTTTATCCATTCATTTATCAATAGAAATAGGTTGCCTCCGTATCTTGGCTATTGCAAATAATGCTGCAGTGAATATGGGGCTGCACATGTATCTTTTTGAGATAGTAATTTCTTTTCCTTTAGATAAATACCCAGAAGTGGAATTGCTGGATCATACGGTATTTCTATTTTTAACTTTTTGAGGAACCTCCATACTGTTTTCCGTAGTGGCTTTACCAATTTACATTCTTGTCAACAGTTCACAGGGGCTCCTTTTTCTCCACACCCCTGTCTACATTTGCTCTTCCTTGTCTATTCAGGAATGGTCATTCTAACAGACGTAAGGTGACATCACATTGTGTCATTTCATTCTTTTTTTAAAGATTTTTATTTATTTATTTGACAGACAGAGATCACAAGCAGGCAGAGAGGCAGGCAGAGAGAGAGAGGGAGGAGGAAGCAGGCTCCCTGTTGGCAGAGAGCCCCATCCCAGGACCCTGAGATCATGACCCGAGCCGAAGGCAGAGGCTTAACCCACTGAACCACCCAGGCGCCCCGTGTCATTTCACTCTTAAAAACCCACATGAGGGGCACCTGGGTGGCTCAGTGGATTAAGCCGCTGCCTTCGGCTCAGGTCATGATCTCAGGGTCCTGGGATCGAGTCCCACATCGGGCTCTCTGCTCGGCAGGGTGCCTGCTTCCCTCTCTCTCTCTCTCTCTGCCTGCCTCTCCGTCTACTTGTGATCTCTCTCTGTCAAATAAATAAATAAAATCTTTAAAAAAAAAAAAAAAACCCACATGACCCTGCTCTCAAGGAAACAGTGACAAGTATTTAAGATTTTTCTGGACGTGTTTTGGTGATCTTTGTAAACATATAGACTGGCCTAAAGTATTTTCCTATAGCACTACCAGTGTCGCCAGCCTCATAGAGAAAAGCAAACATAAATATTTACAATGAAGCCGTTTTGTTTAAATGGAGAAGTGAAAGACTTGCCCGGGCATTTCCTTCTGCCAATAGTAAGTGATTTCAGCATAGATGGTGGTTATCAGCACCTATTCCAGCAGCACTATTAAACTACATAATAGTAAAGTTGCATGTAAGATTACAATTTATAACTTAGACAGTTGTAAATATGATTTTAATATTTAATTTTTGCTTATATTGCTGAGTTGCATAGGGAAATCCTCTTCGTCTTGGTTGAATTTACCACCACATTTCCCTTGGTTGAATTTACCACCAATCTCCCTACTGACACAAGTTGTGTCAGTAGGTACTCCATTTTTCTTGATATTAACCTCACTGAGGGATCAGCAAGTGTTCTGAATTTATCTGAATTGGTGTAAATAATCATGTGGTCTCAGAACCACAAGCATGTTGAGAAATCAAGTAATTCCTATTGCATTAGGTTATTTTAACAAATGGCATCTTGAAGTGTTATTTCCCCTTTCTAATTGACCAAATTTATGAACAAAAAATGGGAAACAGCCACAGTTGATTGTGAGTCAGCATTGTCCTGATTTCCTTCTCAGTGGTTGTGCTTATATTGCTCCTTTCTTGTTTGTTTCCTGTTCTTACAGCTGCTGATGATTAAGCCCTTCCAAGAACAATACTCTCTCAACTGTTTGAACTTTTTGTCTACCTAGTGTATTTTTCGCCCTACAGTCTGTGCTGAGATGGTTAATAGTGAATCTATCTGTATCTCTCCTAGGTTCTGTTTAACTAGCTTAAATAATTATCCCTGAACTAAATATCCATGTCCATGTGCTTTGTGTATTAAAATCACATGCTTCAATACGATTTTGAAGTAAAAGTTTAATCAGCTGAGAGACCTGAAGGACTCGGGCTTTCTATGTTTAGAGGAGTTTTCAAGTGATAGACTTATTCAAGTGGTAGGGGAACTAAAGGACATGGTTTGTCTTACAGAATTTCACAAGTTACATACTTTCTCTTACATGTAACGAATTATTTTACCGACAGAAATTGATAATTGCATGTGTGTGGGTTGCCCTAAATATTTTCATTACACTTTTTGAGGGTAAAACAACAGGAAGCCTGTTGAATAATGTAGTTGAATAAGAAAAATAATCCTAAGGGGTAGAGCAAAACAAAGCCTGCTATCCAGTGCCCTACCTTACAATATTCAGATAACTACATTTATAGGCTTATGTGCCAGACACCATGCAAGGTGTTGGGAATATAGTGATAGCAACTTTCAATCTCTGCTTTTAATTTTGAGATACTGAATATTTTTCTGAGTATGGGGGGTATTTTTTTATTTTTTATTTTTTTTAAATATTTTATTTATTTATTTGACAGAGACAGAGATCACAAGTAGGCAGAGAGGCAGGCAGGGAGAGAGGAGGAAGCAGGCTCCCTGCCGAGCAGAGAGCCCGATGCGGGGCTCAATCTCAGGACCCTGGGATCATGACCTGAGCGGAAGGCAGAGGCTTTAACCCACTGAGCCACCCCAGGCGCCTGGGGTATTTTATTTATTTTTTATTTTTTTAAAGATTTTATTTATTTATTTAATAGAGATCACAAGTACATAGAGAGGCAGGTGGGGGTGAGGGGTGGGGAGCAGGCTCCCCGCTGAGCAGAGAGCCAGATGCAGGGCTCGATCCCAGGACCCCAGAGATCCTGACTTGAGCTGAAGGCAGAGGCTTAACCCACTGAGCCACCCAGGTGCCCCGACCTGGGGTATTTTAAACAGACAACAGGAACATCCGATATTTTTCCAACACCTGCAAAAAGGCAAGACAAAATAACATAAACTTTTTCTGATTATTGAATTTAGAAGTATATTAGTTTACTTTAGAGTGATTATAAAAGACTTAAGAAAAAAATTGAGAAGTACTGTGAATTAAAAATTTGGAAGAGACAATTTTCAACCTTTAGTAATAGAGTGTTTCAGTCTCACAGGAGCATTAATTTCTAAGGGAATAAGCATTAAGTATTTGGGTTTGTTGGCCACAATTTGGGGGTCTTTATACTAGTTCTGTGTCCAAAATATAAGAGATTGGGAAGATAGGTATCTCTTTTTTGTTTATTTTCTTCTCTACAGAAGTTGCCATCAGATCAATGATCAGTGAAGACTGTGTTGAGGTGTAGACTGTGTATTAGAAACAGAGAATGTGGTAAATTAAGTTAAGATCACTGTAATTTAGGTGTGTTTTCCAGTAATTTCTCAACATTGCCTGGCTCAGTGTTTTCCCAGAGAATTAAAAATGACTTACTCACATATATAAATACTGAGTTTTCCAAGCAAATATATTGGTGAGGAATAGAGCATTGGCCATTTTTTCTGTCCTTGAAAGTGGGTCCTCGAAAATTTAAACCTTTTGAGAATGTGTGAAACCGTTCCTTGAGTATAAGTAAGAATTCAAACTGAGAAGAGAGCCTCCCAGTCTTGGCAGAGATATAAATTTAGTTTACTATGTAAAAATCTAACACTTTAGAAAATTATCAGTGTAATTTTGTTGTTCTAAGCATAATGCTTTTTCTGTACAGCTTTGTACATCTTTTGAGCGTTGTAATGGCAGCAGATAAAGCAACTGTAAATCATGACCACATCTTTGTTTTATTTTTTAATTTTTTTATTCCAGTATAATTAACAGTGTTGTATTGGTTTCAGGTGTACCGTGTAATGATTCAGCAATTCTGTGTGTTACTCAGTGCTCATGATGAGAAGTGTACTCTTAACCTTCTTCACTCTTCCATTCATTTCCTACCCGCCTCCCCACCAGTTTGTTCTATGTATTTAAGTCTGTTTTTTATCTCTTTCTATTTTGTTCATGTTTTGTTTCTTAAATTCCACATATGTGTGAAATCATACGGTATTTGTCTTTCTCTGACTTTTTTCACTTAGCATTATAGCCTCTAGATCAATCCATGTTGTTGCAAATGGCAAGATTTCATTCTCTTTTATGGCTGAGTGATACTCCAGTATGTGGAGGCATCATCTTTGTTTTACAAAACTAATTGAAGTGAATGGCTGGCACCATTTGTTTTATTTGAAAAGTATTTTTAAAGTTACATATACATGGTTTTAAAAGTCAGATAGGTTAGGATTCACTATGAAAAATATCAGTCATTCTCCCCATCTCACTTTCTTTCTTCTTCCACTGGGACCAATCACTTCTTGCTTTGTTTTTAATACTTGTAGTGTTACTTTTTATCTCTTAAGAAACGCATGTTCTACTGCTTAAAAACAAAAACAACAAAAAAAAACAAACAAAAAAACAACTTCAGTCATCTATTGACTTGCTCTAATGCAACTGAACTAAATATTAGCTCATTTGTACCTCTTGTGCCCTAAAGTTGTCACAGTTTTTGTGACATTAACCCGCTGATTTTTATGACTTCTTAAATGATATACTTAAACTTCCAGGTCTTATTCCATCAACCAAACCAATCTCTGCATTCTTCACTTTGTAAAGTGAGAATGTCGGGACCAACACCCCTCCTTGGACAGACTGAAACTAAAACTGAATGGCCTAGGTGAGCACGTGTAATTGCATGAACAGAAATAGTCATTAAGTCCAGTGTCTGAAAACTTATGCTGAACTACATGGGAAAAGTTTAGTGTAGATACAAAGCAAATCAAAATGTAGCGTTCATTTACTGGATAGTTACTGAGTAGCCTTTTTTCAGTGACTCTGGAATGATGGAATTGAAACTACAGAAATGGAAGTATAGAAAACAGTGCACATATTAATTATACTTCAGTTTAAAAGTGTTAATTATAGGGGCACCTGGGTGGCTCAGTGGGTTAAGCCTCTGTCTTTGGCTCAGGTCATGATCCCAGGGTCCTGTGATCAAGCCCCACATCAGGCTCCCTGCTCGTTAGGAAGCCTGCTTCTCCCTCTCTCTCTGCCTTTTCCCCTGCTTGTGCTCGCTCTCTCTCTGTGTCAAATAAATAAATAATTTTTTTTAAATGTTAATTATAGGGCACCTGGGTGGCTCAGTTGGTTAAGCAACTGCCTTCGGCTCAGGTCATGATCCTGGAGTCCCAGGATCCAGTTCCATCCACATCGGGCTCTCTGCTTGGTAGGGAGTCTGCTTCTACCTCTGACCTTCTCCCCTCTCATGCTCACTCTCTCTATCTCAAATAAATAAATAAAATCTTTTAAAAAATATTAATTATACGTCAGTTTTTAAAAGATGCAGCACACATACCACTTGGCTTTACTGAATCATGAATGGAAATGCAATTTGCTAGTGTTCAATTTCTAGGATCAGCTTCTATCCAGAGGACAGAAAATTTAATTATGGGTCCAGAGTAGAGAATATATTTACTTTTATTCCTTGTGCCTCACCCCCCCCCACCTCAGATTCTTTCTACGTAATTCACAAAACTTAGTAAAATTTAAATCACAACCTGGGACACACATGCATATATATAACTGAAAGCAAATATTTTCACTACGCAATACCCTTACTACAAATAGTACCTACTTTACTAGAATATATATACCCTGGTTTTCATTCTAATTCATTTTTTTTTTTTTTTTTAATGGTAGTTGCAACCCAGTAAATTGATTCCATGACCAGGGTGGAAATCTGAATGAACTAAGGTATAAGATTATTGCACCTTTTTAGCAGATAAAAAGGAACATGGAAAATACGTTGTCACAAATTTTCCTCTTTTCCCAGGGCATTGGCTCTCCGGATTATCAGGAGTTTGTAGTTGATATTGAATCTAAGCTGAGGATGGAAGGTGTGGAACTTAAAGAAGAATGGCAAGATGAAGATTTTCCAATGTGAGCAATGCTTTCAAATGAAAACAGATTTAAAACAAAACTTCAAAATGTCTTTACTAAGATGTCACTTATTAAGTGACTCTTGAGCTTCTTACAGAAACCCAGTGTCAAAAGGTGTTCATTTGATACTAGAAAATGGAAGTTCCTTTCCAGCAGTTAGACGAATTTTCCAATACCTTATTTTCCACCAAATATATATGTGGTCTTCCCATAATCTTTATTTTTGTTTTCAACATTTAAATGTAAAATGTTTGCTGTTATAAAAAAATGCTTAAATGTGGTATTTCTTAAATGAGTCTGAGGGGTTCCTGGGAGAAGGGAGTCTTTAGATGTCTGTAAGAATTGTTAAATTTTATCCTTCTATTTTAAAAGAAAGCTTACTAAATAAGGGTTTTTTAGATTATCTGGCCAGCTACTTTGACACGTTTGCATTTGTAGTTGTTTTTGTATGGGTACCACTAGGTTAAGAGAAAAAGGGCAAAGGCAGACCATATTAAAATTGTGCTTTCATACCATCTTGGTCAGAAGACCATCTCAGGGCATAGGAAGGTCCCTTAACAGTGGGAATATGGACAGCTGGTGGAAGTACCAAGTCACTACATAGCACATGGTGATAATAGGAATAATATAGAAATGCTGAGCTCAAAAGAATTGTAGCCATTGTTGCCATCCTCTCACGTGAGGGACCGTTTACCTTCACCACACATTGTATTGTATTTCACGTTAAGCTCATGCATTTGAGTTATATTTTTTTTAGGTTGTTTGTAATTTTTAGGTTTGTTTTGTAGTTGTATTTAAGAGCAGTTACATAAGGAAGTTATATCTGCTTTTATGTGTTACTTACATAAATATGTAAATCATCTGACAGTCTGAAAATTTTGTCTTTAAAAGTCGTTTGTAAATTACTGAAGCTTAAGAAACCACTTTATTCAGTTTTCCACATAATTGGTTCTATGAGATATTTTTAATATCTCTTTGAACTACAAAAAAGTTCTTTTAATTTGTGAATTAAAAATTTTGTCTGTATTTTCTAGACCTTTACCAGAGGATGATAGTATGGAAGCAGATGTATTAGCTGTAAGTGGACCAGAGAGCCAGCCTGGTAAGAACTTGGCACTTGAGTTTCAATGAAACGGTAGACTTTGTGTTATTTTTTTTAACACATTCTTTGTCAAGGGAAAAAAGTATACTTACTTTTTATTCTATTATACGGAGCCAAAGAGTAAGTGAATGTTTTGAATGCTTTGGAAATTTAACATTGCAAAAACATACCCTTGGGCTTGGGAAATTTCTACAGTAAAAGGTTGAGAGGAGATCATTTTTAGTGGTAAGCTGACTGTAATGTTTGCCTCTATTACTTAAAAAGATATATACTTGCTGGAATGTGTTGTCTTTCCATGATGTAGAAGCAATAACGACCAAAATCTAAGGTTTGTAAATTAATGCTTTGGGATTATGTTTGATTCATGTTATTTTTCTCAAGAATGAAGTGATTAGAATTTTTCTCTTATTCAGGGCACCTGGGTGGCTCAGTCAGTTCAGCATCCTACTCTTGATTTTGGCCCAGGTCATGAGATCAAACCACGGGTTGGGCTTTGTACAGGGTGGAGGGGGGCTGCCTAAGATTCTCCCTTTCTCTCTGCCCCTCCCCCTGCTCACATGCTCACACTCTCACTCTCTCAAAAAAATAAATATATTTTTAAGATTTTTATTTATTTACTTGAGAGAGAGGCAAAGACTGTGAAAAGGGAGAGAGCGCATGAGCAGGGAGAGGGACAGAGAATGGGGGAGAAGCAGACTGCTCACTGAGCAGGGAGCCTGATTCACCGCTGGATCCCAGGATCCTGAGATCATGACCTGAGCCAAAGGCAACTGCTTAACCGACTGAGCCATCCAGATGCCCTAAAAAAATAGATATTTTTAAAATTTTTTTCTCCTATTCAACTTAAGCAAGTAAACATTCCTTCTAATCTGTTTTTCACTTTTTTTTTTTTTTAAAACCCATTCCATGCTCGCTAGAAGTTAATGGAAATAAAGTAAGAAAGAAACTCATGGCTCCAGATATTAGCCTGACCCTGGATCCTAGCGATGGCTCTGTGCTGTCAGATGATTTGGATGAAAGTGGGGAGATTGACTTAGATGGCTTAGACACGCCATCAGAAAACAGTAATGAATTTGAGTGGGAAGGTAAATGTTTCAGTGTTTTATCTGATCTTTATTAATGAATGTTTGTCTCTCTATACATATGTGTTTTTTGAATAGTAGTCTCATATTAGGATAATTGAAAAACTTAAAACTTGATCTTGAACCTAAAATCGATGATTAAGGGATTTTGTTGACATATGAAGTTACTCTTTTTTTAAAGTTCCTGCTATATTTTGTTACTAATATGGGAAATTCTGCTGGCACTGAATATTCTCATGGCTTTCAAAACTGTTTTTAGTAGATTACATGGGTGGCTTTATTTTCTATCTTAATTGCCCAGTATTGTGAAGTTACGTTTTTTCATGCTGCTCCCCAAATATTGCTTGATCGTTACGGCATGTTCTTTTATTTAGTCAATCAGCTAAGAAAAAAAGCTTTGAAGAGACATGTAACGTAGGGAATATGCTAAAAGTAGTTAGGGGTTTGCAGAGAGGGAGCTTTGACGGGAGTTTTTTTAGGGTGATTTTTTAAATTAGGTTTGCCTGATAGTACTGCACTATGTGAACAACCATCTTGAATTAATGTGTACTCTTAGTCCCCAAACTTTATGTTCCTTATTATTAGTTACTTAGAATTCAAAGGAATTGGCATGTGTTTTGCTTTGCGTGTTTTCTTTAATTAGATAATTTCTGTGTATAGTATCTTTATATAGTTGTTGGTATATCCATCTTTAAAATGATTTTTACTTGAAAGCAGTGTTTTAGCCCTATGTGTCTTATCTGCAGTAAAGAGTAAGATCCTTGATATACTGTATCTTTGTTCCTTTTCTCTTTCCTATTTTACTGGTTCAGTAAGCAGTCCAGTAATAATATTTTAAAAAGATACTGAAATAGTTTTCTGCCTATGTGTTTTGTCTCTTCTTTCTTTAATGCTGCTGTAGTCATTTCCTGGAAGGATATTTTCCGTTAACAGCTTTATCTTGGAAACAAACAACTAACATGGCGTAGGTTTCCCTTCCCCCATCTTTTGGTAAGGACTACAATACTAAAATTTTGAAAATCATTACTTCGTTTAAAATCCGCTAAAGTGCAATCTTGAACTATAAATTACACCTAATCATTGGTGCTTCTGCTTTGGCTAATGTCAATTTAAAATAGACGTTTGCATGTACACATCAGAATATTATCAGTAAATTTCTGCTCAATAAACCTGATCAAATGAGAAATAATCATCGACTGGTTAACCACTTTCTATCTGGTATTACAGTGTTTGGGGAATAATTTATGTGCTCAAGAACAAAAAAGAAATTTGCTCTCAGTTACTTTAAATAACCCATAGTGGTAACTACCAAGAACAGTGTTGTAAATAGAATCTGAACAGCATTGTAAGGCCAATGTACTAAGATTCTGATGGCTGTATGAATTATCTTTTTTGAACTTATGCACATACATTGCGCTGTGAATTGCTTTCTGAATTAGCCAATACAAAAAAAGTTAGCCATAATTTCCAAAAACATAAAATGGCTTCATTATCAATAACAAGATTTTTCCTCTGTTACAGAAGTAGTACTTAAAATTCCACGGAAGGTATAATGAAATATTCTCTGAACAATCTAATTAGATAGTTAAGTGGTTAACATGTAATTTGATTTTTACTGTACAAATAACAATTTGTGATTCAAAAACCTTTTATTTTGACAGATGATCTTCCAAAACCCAAAACTACTGAAGTTATTAGGAAAGGCTCAATTACTGAGTACACAACAGCAGAGGAAAAAGAAGATGGACGACGCTGGCGTATGTTCCGAATTGGAGAACAGGACCACAGGGTTGATATGAAGGCAATTGAACCCTATAAGAAAGTTATCAGCCATGGAGGTAAGAGCTGTCAAAGAGCATATTTTTTAGTGCAATATCAGAAATGTAAATGCCTAAAGAAACTCTATCTTGAGTAAAAAAATGTATATATAGTGAACATTTATCATGTCATTTTAGAAACAACAGGTTTGAAGTAAAAGGATAAAACTAAATTTAAAAATCATTAGTACATGCACACAGTATATTCAAAAGGTATAAGAATATACAGTGAAAACCGTTTTCCACCTGACCTCTAGACAACCCCCAAACTGAGACTTTCTCTCCTTTTTTATGCATTTATAATCTATATATAATGAAATGGTATAATCCTTTTTTGTAGCATTTGCAGTTTTTCCCCAGCTTCATGAGATATAATTGACATATTGTTAAGTTTAAGGTTAAAACGTGTTGATCTGATACAATACATACTGCATAATAATTACCATTTATTTTTTTGTGTGGTGAGAACATTTAGGATCTATTCTCTTAGCAACTTTACACAATACAGTATTACTGTGTAGAGTCGTTACGCTGCGCATTAGATCCCTACAACTTATTCATCATATAACTGTAAGTTTGTACCCTTTGACCAGCATATCTTCTTTCCCCCTAGACCCTGGTAAACACCATTTTAGTCTCTGTTTCTAAGTTTGGCATTTTTAGATTATGTGTATAAGTGATACCATACAGTATTTGTTTTTCTTCTTTCTGACTTTTTCACTTCGAATCTGAAAGGTAGGATTCAGTGAGTTTTGACAGATGCCCATATAACCATATCACCTACAGCTAGACATGTAAAACATTTTCATTGCCCCCCAAAATTCTCTCAGACTCCTTCCCAATGAATATCCCCCTCCAGTAACCACTATTTTAATATCCGCCCCCATGATTACTTTTGCCTATTCTAGAATTTTGTTTAACTGGAATCATATAGTGTACCCTCTTTTGTTGACTTTTTTTTTGCTCATTTTTTGACATTTATCCATGTTGTTGCTTGTGTCTGTTGTTCATTCCTTTTCATTACTAAGTAGTAGTTCATTGTATGGATAAACCACAATTGGCTTATTCATTTTTCTTTTGATGGACTTATGAGTTGTTTCCTATTTGGGCCGTTATGATTAAAACTGCTTTGAACATTCTTGTACTTGTCTTTTTGTGTATATAAGTAAAACCTGGCATTTTAAACTATGACTCTTATTTTACATTAAAACCCTGAATAGGGATGCCTGGGTGATTCAGTTGGTTAAGTGTCTGCCTTCTGCCTTTGGCTCAGGTCATGATCCAGGTGTCCTGGGATCTTGCCCCACATTGGGCTCCCTGCTCAGTGGGGAGCCTGCTGCTCCCCCTGCTTGTGCTCTCTTTCTCTCTCTGGCAAATAAATAAATAAAATCTTCAAAAAAAAAAATCAAACAATAAAACCCTGAATAAATCATTTAGTTTTACCATATAGTATAGAACTAGTCCATTCCACATTTTTATGGAGCACCAGCTTTGCATATTTGTAGGATATCCAAAAATACAAGGCTTCATTTCTTAAATTACAAGTCAAATAGGAAAAGCTATGGGAGTATGATTATAACTTCTAACCATCCTGACTGTGCCATGTATAGAAGTTTGCCTAGACACTGTAAATAGCATCAGAACTTTAATGGTAGTCAAAATGCAAGTCACTCTCTAGAACATTTCTTTCTTTCTTTCTTTCTTTCTTTTTTTAAGATTTTATTTATTTATTTGACAGACAGAGATCACAAGTAGGCAGAGAAGCAGGCAGAGAGAGAGGAGGAAGCAGGCTCCTTGCTGAGCAGAGAGCCCAATGCAGGGCTCGATCCCAGGACCCTGGGACCATGACCTGAGCGGAAGGCAGAGGCTTTAACCCACTGAGCCACCCGGGCACCCCTCTAGAACATTTCTTATTACATGAAATCCTAATGCAAGAAAAGGGACCACATAGGTTAAACAGATTGGGTTTTTTTTTTGTTTTTTTGTTTTTTTGTTTTTTTTTATGTAGAGTCCTTTCTACTTAATTTACTTCCTGCCAAATGCATTCCCGTCTGTATTTCTATAGTCTTCATTCATCTGAAAGTAAAATCACTTGAATGTTTGCATTTACATTATTCCGCCTAATTTAATCCTATTCAGATGAAGAAAACAGGATAAACTGGATCAGGAAGTTCACAGTCTTGCATTATTAATTCAGCCAGTTCATAGGAAACAAGTTGTGAGACCTGCCTCATGGTTTAAACCTAGTATCTTTCAAAAAGAGCACTTTATTTATATTAGGGGGAAATAATTAGGACCATTTTATGCTATTGAATTATCGCAATGTGTTTTGTGACTAAGAGATTGAGATAGATGCTAATGTACTTGAAGCGTTTAAACCTTTTCAGTGCATGTTTGTAAACAACGGAAATGAAAGTTAAAACAATGTTACTAGATACTAGAGATTATAATAAACATATACATTTTAACACTTTTTCTTCCGTTAAAATTGTCAAAGATGTAATTGTAGTTTTCATTATTCTAGAATCTACAAAATGCTAGGCATATTTGAGTGTAAAAGTATTTTTTCAGAAGCATCCACTTTAACCATAACTTGCATAAGAGTGTTGCAGATGTTTTCGTATTATGCCTGCTTGGATTATATCACTTCTTTTGTCTATTTACTAAAATAATACTGGCTTTCTGATTATGCTACTTTAAATGGGTTTCTGGTTCTTATGCCCACTATTTCCTCTTCGATTTTATTCTATTTTGAGAAGAGCGGATTTAAAGATCTATAAGGCTCTATAAGGTTAAAAACGAAACCATGTTTTTTGATCAAAAAAATTGTGGAACATGAACCACTATAATCTGTCAGCTGTACAGATTTCCTCTGGAAAAGTAAAATCATGGTGGTGATTTTATCTTTGACTTAATTTTCAGGATATTACGGGGATGGATTAAATGCCATTGTTGTGTTTGCTGTCTGTTTTATGCCCGAAAGTGGTCAGCCTAACTATAGATACCTGATGGACAATCTCTTTAAGTAAGTATACCTTCACAGAAAAATGTGGACAGAATTCTGGGCTAATTAGATCTCCAGTTTAAGGAAGTGAACTTTGCCTGGGAGAAGATTATAATTATCCCCATTTCAGTTCTTTAAGTCCTTATTCTTTGGCATTATAAAAGTATGCATTTTCCAACTCAACAGGAAAATTGTCAGTTTAAAACTGGAATGGATATTTCAGATTATCTGTTCTAACTTCTTTATTTTACATTAAATGTAAAGAAATTATTTTTATCTCAAAATCATATGGCTAAATGCATTTACTCCCAAAAAGCCAAATGTAACTGAACCGACTCAATTCTATTTCCACAGAGTCATTCTATTTCTTAAGTTAGTGGTGTTTTAAAAAAACTTACTGGGAAAATTTCAAACTTACATGAAGGTAAAAGAAGTGTATTGAATATTTGTGTATGAATCAAACGCTTCCACAGTTAATAGGTTTATACTTCATTCCCAAAATGTATACTCTTCCATTGTATAACTTTGAAGCAAGTCCCAGAAATGATGTCAGTTCATCCATAGACTTTTAAACGTGTATTTCTAGAAGGTAGCTCTTTTAGAGTTACATATTCATAATACCAACTAATACAATTCTGAAATTTTAATTGGTTTTGCTGTCGTTGAAGGGAAGGAAGAGCATTATATAATTTGGATAATTTTCTTGGTTCTGCAAAGCAGTATTTAAGGCTTAAACTTAATTTGTCTTTATAGGTATGTTATTGGCACTTTGGAGCTATTAGTAGCAGAAAACTACATGATAGTTTATTTAAATGGTGCTACAACTCGAAGGAAAATGCCCAGTCTGGGATGGCTCAGGAAATGCTATCAGCAAATTGATAGAAGGTATTGTAAATACCCATTGAAAGCTAGTCTGAATAATTTTTATAATAGCTTTATTCAATTTTATTTCCTGTGGTCACTTAAGGGCACTATAAATTATATTTGTAAATTTTATAACACGTTTCTGTTTTCTCCATTCAGTATTTTAGAATATCATGAAGGAAATTAGTTTTGATCTGTTTAATAAAGAATAATTCCTTAAAACAAAACTATAAAATAGTCCTTTTTTTCTCCTTATTTGAACCACATTGAACATTTCCCTATAACTTGTGTTTTGGGAAAGAATGGAGAACTTAATACATTTCCTATTTTAGTACATTCTGAATTTTGCCTAACTCATAGTGCTTAGCATATTTTATGGTTTTTAAGATGCTTAGCCATCATCTTACTTTGAAATGAGCTCTAGGGAGTGTATTCTCCTCAGAGTTAGTCATCAATGCTAATGGAAGGAACTTCGAATCTCCAGTTGGTTTGATTTAAGCTATAGCTAACTTGAACTAGTTTAATGAACTCAGATTCATTAATAGGTTTCTCTGAATACCTAAACATGGCATGGGCTAGTTCTTACGATTTAAAAAAAAAAAAAAAATCCTTAATGGTCACTTTACTTAAGTGTGGAATATGCATAATAAAACAGCAGGATATTTTTGGTCATTTTAAGTCATTCAGGGTAATGCCGGTAATTTTTATTCAGAATTTTAGACTCCATAAGAATGTGTTAGATCTGATTTACATTTCCTATTCTTGTGGCTTAGTGCCTTTCATGGTGTTGAAGAAATGAGTACCAGTTCCCCTCTCATCCTGAAAAATGAAATTTCGTATTCGGTATTGTCCTCTATCCCTGGTTGACAGAATTCTAAAGACAAGTGAATATATCTAGGAGACATTTAATGACAGGCTATACTGTGGACATAAATTTAGCCAAATGCAGTAAAGCTCATCTCGTAGCAGTAAAAAAGACCATCAGAATTCAAGAGTGTATTTCCTTGTCTTTAGGAATATCACATCTAAATGAACTTCTGGATGAGGAGTGTGTGTGTGTGTGTGTGTGTGTGTGTGTGTGTGTGTGTGTAAAGTTGCACATACTTAATGATGCCTTACCTTTTTTCCTAGCATTAGAATTTATAGAGCTTTAAAATTTTTGTTTCCTTTCCTTTTCTTTTTTTTTTAACTCCAGGTTACGGAAAAACCTAAAATCACTAATCATTGTACATCCCTCATGGTTTATCAGAACACTTCTAGCTGTCACAAGACCCTTTATTAGGTAATTTTCTGAGAGTCATTGACTAAAAAAAAAAAAAAAGAAACAAAAACACCAGCTCCTTATGTGAATTTCTTGTCAGTTCTGTTGGTCAGAATATTGAGGTAATTATCTTTATTTTCTTCCATAGCTCAAAATTCAGCCAAAAAATTAGATACGTCTTTAATTTGGCAGAACTAGCGGAACTTGTCCCCATGGAATATGTTGGCATACCAGAATGCATAAAACAGTATGTTTTGTTTTATTTCTTTAATTGTATTGGATCTTTATATATTGATGTGCAAGAGGTAAATATTTTTCAGTACTCATCCTTTTCACTTCCTGTATGATAAATATTTTGTAACTGCTCTTGTTTTTGTGACTAAGGAAAAGGGAAAGAAGCCATTTTCCAGCACCTTCCCCATACTGTTTTCTTCAGGCCATCACCTGAGGAAGCAGGAAGGATTTTTTCTGGTGGTAGTTAATTTTTATTTTTAAAGACTATTTCTTTTTAAAGACTATTTACAATCTTAAGAGGTGGTTTCCTGATCAGTCAGTACTAAAGAACATTCTCCAAACTTGAACATGCTGTTCTCCAAATTTGAGTAAATTCATCCATGCGCTGAATAATCCTATTACTGGCGAAATATATTATTTATATCAGCCTAACCTTGGTTCATTTCAGTGGCTGGAATATGTTCTGTTTATTGAATTCACCTCCCATCTAATTTTTTAAAAGGATTTGGTAGAAGGCTGTTAACATAAATACTTGAATATCGCTCTCCTGTAATGTCGAAAAAGTTTTTTGGTCTACTGATCTGAGGTTTAGTCTGTTGAATGTGTCAAAGCGAGATTTCTTAGATCAATTTTGACTTTCTACATAGTGTGTTAAATAGTTTGGTTTTGCCTGCAGACTTATATGAGTTTATTGTTAGTGCCTTTTTTCAAGTTTTGTTTATCTTCATAACATGTATATTTACTGAAATAACTCTTCCCTACCAAGGTATGAAGAAGAAAAGTTTAAAAAGAAACAAAAAAGGTATATGCACACCTTGACTGGGTTGCATCTAGACTAGTCCATTTGCATTGCACAGACTAACTCTTCCTTATTGGTTGGTTAGCTTGTGGACAAAGATAACAGCATTTGTAAATATAAACATACCCCAGAATTCAAATATAGAGTGAATCTGAAGTCCTGATGCTGAATATGGCTTGGATTCACCCTGTTCTAACATCATGTATTAATGCCCATTAGGAATTAAAGGTCATAGCCCCTCCTCACTCCTTCATGTTATATGTACTGATCGCAAAACCAAAGAAACTGCTAAGAAAACTATTTGGAAAACCAATTACCTCTAAGACTTTTTTATTTGTTTCACCATATTACTTAAATGTCTAACTAGTGCTCGTGATAAATATATATGTACTCTTCTAAAGAAACAGTTTATTTCCCTGGGGTTTATGAGTATATTTGCAATGCACATATTCTTTGGCTAACCAACATTGATTTCCCTATACGCTTAAACGGCCTGCTAACCAGTCAAATTCTACATATGATAAAATACCTAAAATTCAGTAATATACCGTTAAATAGTTAAACACTCTGCTTTCCATCTTTAATTTTGAATACTTCTGCTTTGAGCATAACAAACTATTAGCTATTAATATCTCGGCATAGAAGATGAAAGGCAAGGTATAAAAGAGTTACCATTTTAAATAGTAATTTAGAACAATGTAGGATTTGGAGCTGACTTGTTAATGGATTTTTTTTTTTTTAATAATGACAAATTAGCAAAACAGCTTTAGAACAATCTTTCTTAAGGTGAGAGATTTGTATGTAGTTATTACCATTTTGACCATTCTAAGGAAACAATTATAAGGAACTAATTCTTTGAACACATTTTGACTGTGTTGATGAGCAAGAATTCAGTTGACCATGTGATGGAACCATAGCTTTACATTTTTATAGGACACTTAACAGTTTAATGAACATTTTAACATAGAGATGTGGATGGTAATTTTAGATATTGCTGATTTTTTTTTTCCCTTTCTAGGCACTGGTGTACACTTGCCAGACAGATAACTGAAATTAAAAATACATCTGTAACTGTATAATGAAGCCAACTGCTTCATGGATTTCAAAATGAATTGCCTTTGTTGATAAAATCCGCTGTATTGTGCCTTTTTACAAAGTTCTTAGTATTTAGTTACCTGGAATTTAGGTACCAGAAAAATAGTGGAACTATACTTTTTATTTAATATATTGTTTGATACCTACCAATACTATTTTATCTTGAGTTTTTCTTTTTTTTTATTTTTGTCTTTTTTAACTGTAATAGAATCACTACGTATATCTTTCAGACACTTGTTAGTTTTGGCATGGTTTGTTAGTCTTAAAAAAAATAATAAATCCTTGTCAGTTTGAAGATGGTAACATTCAAGTTTTGAAAATAAAGGAGCATTTTTTTTTTTAAGGAGCATATTTTTAAAAATGTAACAGAGGCTGTGTGTGGAGGTGCTTACTTAAGGTGACATCTCTATGATGAGTACCAGGCATAAGGAGGATTCAAAACTCCGTGTGCACACACGGTAGTGTCGAATGTTGTAACTGTTTCTTTCAAATGACTCAGTGCAAGTGTGGCCGGAGAGAGCGCAGCTGTTAAAGTGTTTGAATGTAGTTGAGAAATCAAGTAATTGTGAAAATAGTTCGTAAGAACTAATTTAACAGATTTCAGATGTTGAAAAGACCGGATGTATATTGCATGCCTTATCGAGACTATATACCACTTATATTTTTGATACCAGCATAAAAAATGTTTTTAAATGTTATTAATTTGACTTTACACAGACCAAGACTTTTAGGTTTCATTCAGTAATGTTCAGGTGCTCTTAGTAATGGGTGGTGATGATCAAAAAATGGAAACAAATGTGAAGAGTATCTTCGTATATTGTACCAAGTTTTAAACTCCCCTCCATCAGTAATTCAGACTAGTACAAAGAGTAATAGACTGTTGTACATTATCTTTAAAGTGTTGTTTATAGTTGTGTTGTAATTACATAATTCTTCTAATCCCCACTTGCCTAAATTTTGATAGGTCTCTATGCAACCCATTCTAATTCAGTTCGATTTTTAACCACATCTAGATATTTCCAGTTATTTGATGGCTTCTTACTATCAAAATAAGTGAAAAGCATTTATATTCTATGTATACTAATAAAAAATTTTGGAGAATCGTTTCTGTAAATATGCATTTTTATCACTGAATTTAAAAACATGGATCATTTGGTGGCATTAGTGGCATTTTAGTATTTCAGTTAACAAAATCATTTTTGAGGGAGTTGTTTTTCCTGCCACTCTCTAATCAGTTAGATCCCAGCCATGCTACAGTTTAAGATTTTAATATACCTGTTGCAATTTAACTTTTAATACAACTCTGAGCATTTGTATGTACAGTATTCAGTAATCTTCAAAGAAACAACAAGCACATTTCTTGCCAGTGTCCTCTTGTCTTTAAAAATTATCTTTCCTGGTTGGGGAAATGTTTGGTAACCTTTTTACTATGTCTGCTTCTTTGCAAAGCTTTGTTTTTAACAAAATAATATTCTATGCTAAAAGTAGTCACAATTTTTAGAAAGAAAATTGTTTAGTTGCTAGTGTTTTATTATCTCTATTGTTTTTCATTAAACAGAGTTGATCAAGAACTTAATGGAAAACAAGAAGAACCGAAAAGTGAACAGTAAGTTTGGTATCTAGTCCAAACAAGACTGAAGAATGTACTGATGAAGCAGTGCTCCTTTTTGCATTTATAATGCATTTATTGGCCCTGATTTTTATGTAACCTGTTACGAAATTGACTCTTCCTTACTGGACTTTTGTATAAGGGACTGTTCACTGCTGTATTGGTTTGCAAATCTCTTGAATTTAGCTCCTTATTAGCTAATTATATTGTAATCATTTTGTATTTTATATTGCTAAATAGCAGAGAACCACACTTTATATAAAGCAGTTTTTGCATTTGTTTGTTGAATGATGCGTCATCTTCAGTAGACTATTTATATGCCTAAATGGTAAAGGAAAGAGATAATATATATTTTTGTTTCTGAGCAGTATTTTTTAATGTATACCTGTCTTGTGGAAGAATATGCAGGTAAATAAGACCATGATTTGTAAAGTGCATGTTTGAATTTTTGTTTTTGTAAATGGTTAGATACATTTCCTGGGTAACTTAGAAAACAGAATTGCTCATAAGGTGAGGGACAGTTTAAACTGGTTCTCATGAATACCCAAAGGTCATGTACATAATCTAAGTAGATTACTACTATCCTAAGCTTTTTTTTCCCCCTCGTTTATTACTGTTTCTTAATTCAGAAGCGCAGATACAAATGTATTGCACACATTTTCCTTTTTAAACTTTAAAGACAAGTCAAGGGGCGCCTGGGTGGCTCAGTGGGTTAAAGCCTCTGTTTTCAGCTCAGGTCATGTCCCAGGGTCCTGGGATCGAGCCCCGCATCCAGCTCTCTGCTCAGCGGGGAGCCTGCTTCCCCCTCTCTCTCTGCCTGCCTCTCTGCCTACTCGTGATCTCTCTCTGTCAAAAAAAAAAAAAAAAAAAGACAAGTCAAAAAGCCATTTTTAGAACTACACAATTTAAGAGGCTAAGAAGAGGGGTTTGTATATATGTTGTATATATGGGACGTTTTATCTTCTGGCCAAAAGTCAGAACTTTATAAAAATTTTAGGTCTGTTCACTAATGTGAAATAAGCTTGTGTGTCCAGGGTATCACTCTCCAGAATTTGTGAGTGCAGTGTAGTGTTCAGAGAATGTGATGAGTTACTCAATGTCACTATTTTTCTGTAGAAAATAGGAGCTGCTTTTTAACTGCTCTCAGTGTGGGCACTTTACCAAAATACTTCTGTATCGGTTACTGAAACTTGATAGCAGAGGTAGGTGTTTGACCTTGTGGAATCATGTTGACAGTACTGTAAATTTAAGTTATTTTGTAAGTCTTAGAGCATCATTACATTATGCTGTTTTGGACAATATGGGATATAAACATATAAACTTTCTGTTTAATTTGGTAAGTACCTTGACTCTACATTGAAATACATTGTACTGAGGTGCCCAAACAGAACTTAATAACCCACAAAATCATCCTAAAACAACAGATTGATCTGATAGTATCATTCGCTTGTGTGACTCATACACACGTGGAAAAATTAGTATCCTCCAAGTTTAAGGGTACTACCACACCCCAGCCCTTCCTGTAAGATAATTTATAAAAGAATGTGCTAGAATAGCAAAATGAAGCAGATGAGAGCTAAGCTTTTAGGGTTTATTCTGTCCCAGACTGAACACACATGTGGCTTTTACCATTGCCATTTTTCATAGAAAGTTTCTACTAAAAAAGAGAATTTTCCTTTACTTTTTGTCCTCTTTAGTTATGGACTTGGCATGCTAAACTAAGTCCAATTATGGGAGATGCTGGAGGATTCCCAGGATGAGGTGTTCCTCAGCAGTCTTCTGACTTGACTTGGATCCAGCAGCCATAGGCAGATCCTAAACTGATGTTATTATATCAAATAAAGCCAAAACCATTATTGCTTGCTCAAACCTTAGAGAAAGTTTGTGTTGAAAAAGCAAACTAACAATAACAACTTGGGCATTCCTTCTGAATTTACCATGTGAGAATTATGAATAAAGGATCAATGAATTCAATTGTGATTAGAGTCTATATTCATAGAGCTCTTTAAGCAGTCCTTTCTCTATACATATTTATCCTGTTCAGAATTTGCTGAACTTCTTACATAGGTGGTTTTCTTCCACATAAAGTACACAGTTCTTCAGGGTCAACAGTTTATTGCATTTACTCACTTTTGCTTTTGCAAGCATTGTCCCTAACTATAGATACAACTTGTTGCAAAAGTGGTGCATGTTCCTAAATATTTTTTTAAAGTACAAGTAACCTTTAATCTGTTAGAATATGAAAATTCAGAGGGAACAGTGGTAACACTTGGGATATAATGAAAGGCATGTGTTGTGAATCAGTGGATTAAAAGACACCTGCTCTACCGACACCTTAATGGAATCTGGTATAGGGACATGCCCCATAATAAATGTTTCATAACTGTAAGGTTTAAGATCATAACTAATAGGTTAGAGGAAAAGCACTTAGGAAGTTTGTTATTTGTAATTTATCACTATGTGACATTCCTCCCATAGCATTCAATTTTAATTTTCCATTGCTGATTGAAATGAAAGTACATAAAATTGTATTATCTGTCTTCTGGGGTCATGGATCTAACTTAACTGGTTTAATTTTATTTTTGCCACTATATTTTGTTATCCTTGGGCTCGAGTGTCTCTTTTTAATCCAAAGTTTCTCATACATATAATTTGCTTTTGTTCTGCTTGGTTATATTCCTAAGTAGCACCAAGAAAAATGCTACATTGGCCTCCTACTTGAAGCTTAATAGCCTTTAACTCAGTTGATGGCATGGAGAGGATAGGATCCTAAGGAGGGCCTAGTGGGGTAGTTTGAAAGGAAGATAACAAGGAAGTAAGAGAAAGAACTTCAGAGTTTAGAGTGGCTGTTACCTCAGATGGCACTGAGTGTCCCTGTTACGGGATGTACCGCGTATGACAGCTCTTTGCACCATCTAACAGGCTTTCTTGTGTCCAGCAGGAAAAGCTGCAGTCTTCACATAGAATATGTGAAATAAGACCGGAGTGAAGAGTGCAAAGGCTCACAATACCTCTAATGAGAATTTATATTTTCTCTGCTTTGTCTCTTCATACAGAAGCAAATTTGAACAGAGAGGGTCAACAGTTACAGGCTCAGATTAAAGTTTAGGGCTGGATTATTTTTCATATTTTATGAAACATAAGCATTAACGTAGTCTTCCAAAATGAATAGCACTATTTGGTAACTGCACTGAATACTGAAATTTGCTGATTGTATATCAGTAGCTAGAATTTCTTCAACTACAACTTCGGAATTTAAAGTCACGGATCTGCTTTTTGATAGAAACTTCTTGTAGATGATTATAGTGTTACTGTTTGGCTGTTTTTATGTGAGTGCTCAGGGAATTTGGAAGTGTTTGATTTAGTGCAGAAGTGGCTTTTTTAGACTTCTTCAATTGAGAGGTAAATTAGCATTAGGATGTTACTGGTTAGAACAGGCCAGTTTCTTGTTGAGATCAGTAAAGGTGTGTATATAAGGTGACAGTAGCTTCATTCTTTTCCCTGTGTTATATGTGGAAATGGCTAACATTGCTCAGTCAGAAGGGAGAAGATAGGCTGAAGGTAGAAATTTGCTAATCCATTCCATCATGTTTTCTTGCTTACTTTTTCTTCAAATATTTAGATATTTAAGAAATGGATCACAAACCTCAAAAGGAAGGAATAGAGAGTTAATATGCTTATTAGTTAGACCAACTATTCTGTTAGAGTTTATCCTTGTCACGGGGAACAGGAATTGTGTGATTGGAGTCACTGGGAGAAAGCCTGAAGAATTTGGACTTGCCGGAGAAAGTCAACTGGTAAGGGAAGTGGGAGATTTTCTACTCAGTGTTCTAATAGTACAGAAGAATTACCTGGGATCCTTTCACTCACCTCTACCCTGGTCGCAAGATTCTGAATGAATAAAAATCAGATCAGTTTCTTTTGAAGTTCTAAATGGTACTTGAAAATAAGTATTGTGTTGAACATGAGGAGTGACAATAAAATTTGAACGTAGCTGTTATTTTGTTGCAACTGTATATGATAGATCTATTTAATTTCTTATGTTTTGAGAATTACTTTTAAGAATGCTTTTAAATTCGCCTAAAGCACTTACACACCTGATGAAAATCAAGGGTTTAATTAAGGTTTCAGATCGATAAAGAATAACGTTGAGCTGTTTGCTTCATATAGCTGTCTGATTCTATCTTGTAAGACCTTCTACAGGAGATTAAAACATTTACATTTTGGAATCTTTGTGCTTTCACAATCAGTGTGGCTAAGGAGGAACTTGGAAAATAATACCAATTAGCTATTCCACTGCACTTTTTATATACGAGCTTTCTAAAGTTACGTCCCTTAAACCGTTTATTTACATAAACCTAACTAGCAAATGTTGGAGGTGTGTTCAGGGCCACTGACTTGCACAGTCCATAGGACACTATTCACATAGAACACAATTCAGAGTGAATTAGACATCTACACACTTGGATACAGATTTCAAAAATTCAGGTATCTTTTTTAATATAAGTTCACATGCTGCCATTTAGACAGAGTTTGCTGTGATCATTTCACTACTATTCAGTTGATGTTGCCTAGCCTGGTGCTGTCATTTTACAGTGTGAGAAATTCAGTTCTGATGACTGTGCAAGATGTTGATGTGATCCCTGTAAGAAATAATAGGGTTGGTCGTGATTTACTAAGGAGATGTAATATTTTATTTTCCTTTGACTTGTTAGGAATATGGTAACTTGTGTCCTGATTTGTTGCACATCATATTTTTGCAACATTAATGAATTTAAATAAATTAATTGGAAAGTTTGTTTTTGACTCATTTTTATCATTTTTTTTTTTGGTCTTCTGTTAGGCTACTAAATGTTTACACTGAATTATCTCATAAGCCTTTCAAATAGTTTAAGACTTTTTGTTTCTCTTTCTGTAGTCTGGGTGCTACTTCCTATTCTTCAAGGGCATGAAGTATTCATCCTGTTTTAATTTTAAACGTTACCTTAATTATCACACTTTGTATTTTATAATTTAGAATCATTTTAGTAGTGGGTAATCCAATAATAAAAGTTCAATAAGTGGCTGAAAACATGGCATAAATGAGACTCGGTTCTGCTTATAGGCCTGCTCAGAGAGTGAGTCTGTTTGGTAACACTTACGTATTTACTCCTTAATCACAGTTCAGCTACTTAATGGCAAACAGCTGTACACATATTGCTGCCTTTAATCCACATTTAGGATACCATTTGGATTTTTTTAAACCCAATATAT